GTGGCCGAGGTGATGCGGACATCCGCTGCAATTACAAATTGGTCGTCCTGTCTCAACGATGAGTCCACATTGATATCGGCGCCGCACTGTGCCACGTCTGTCACGCAACCGAGCGGCGCGGTGATATAATCTATACAGTGGCGCGGTAGATCCTGAGAAACTCTGGGTGGCATCCGGGTCCCACGGGCACCGGTGCAAGATTCGATGGGCGCACCAGGGGCCGCTTGATTTGTTCTCCTGAGAAACTCGTGGAATCTTTGCCCGGCCTGAATTTCCCCTTCGGGCACCATGCCACCAATGTGCACTGATCGTTGGGATCCGACTGTAGCGTTGGCATCGAGCAGGCAATGGAGAAGTGTAGGCTGCGCGCGCCATGCAATGCGCCGCTCAACTCCATCCCGCCATGCTGAACTCCCCGCCCCATCTCGCCGCGAGTGCGACGCATGGCCCGCGAGCACGTCGACGCACGCGCCGGGTGCCCGCGTGGCAACCAAGAGATGGCGGGGAGAGAACGGCAAAACACGGACGCGCCTGCGCGCCAGTGCACGCGCCCCAACACACGGTAGCTCAACATTTGCCAACAACGCTACACCTCCAACACCTTTCGAATCTGAAGCCGCTAAAACAATAATATACTGGCCAGCGGGTGCCCACGCGTTGCGTCGCACGCGTGTTTCTAGGGTTCCGGCTTGGCGCATGCCGCGCGCTGCAGATCGACACGATAGCGCCAGCGTCCGCCCAGGCAACTCCGACCCAGCTGCATCCTGATATCGACGACGCAACCTGAACCCGAACCCCCCGGCACGCTTCCATCGGGGGCGCAGGGCGAGGGCGCTGGCTGCAGCAAGCCGCATCTGAGGCGCAGCATGGGGAGAACCACAGGTGACGCGCGCGTTCTTCGAGCTGTCGCCCTGCTTTGGCGGCGAGAAAGCCGACCGCGCATCGAAGCGCGACGGTGCAAGACAAGGGAGCTCATGCGTGCCAACTTTTGGGTATACCCCTGGGCCGTCGTCGTCGCTACTGGCTGACATCCACAAGCATGGCGCAACAGCGGCGCACTCGCACAATACTGACCACGGTTGAAAGGTCGGCTCAACCGACGGCGAGATCCCCATGGAGGCCAGTCCGGCGACGATACCTGCAAGCTCATTAAGCGGGTAGGTGGTAGGCGCTGTGTCCTGATACTGCGGGTTCGTGCCGTGTCGACCCTGGCGCTGGTTTCTGACACCGCGCTGGATCGTTCAACCTTGAACGGTCGGCCGTCTCCGCAACGTCCGATCGTTCAACATCGACCGATTCTGGGCCGCCGTCGGCGTTCAACGTTGAACGTCGGCGGCGGGGTCGCCGCCGGTCGACGCGACGCGAACCTACCGTATGTGGCTCCATTCTAAACGAAGATACCGGCGTCGGAGCTTCAATATTCCATCGAAATTCAAGAAGCATGCCACGCGAACCAAATGGGGCCCCTCCAGCGGCCGCTGAAACAACTAGGAAATTGTCGGTAAAGACCCCAATAGATTTGGCACGAAATTGCACGGGGGCCCGCAGCAATCACGAGACCAGCCAAAGGGCAGCTTGAAATTCAGCCGCGCCCGATGCATCGCGCATGGAGTTGGATGGATTTGAGTCTGCCCCGCAGAGGCACCCATCACACCGACGTTTTCCATCTGCAGCAACTCCACAGATGCACCGCGCCCAAGTCGGTGGTCCACCCGAGATCGCCTGCGTAGAGCCTCCAGAACCATCAGTGCAAATCACGTCACGTACGATTTCTGGTTCGGCTGGGATGGGGAAATCCCCGGCTGTTTCAAAACACTGCCTCGTGCTGCCATGAAGGCGCGGATGAAACAGGCAAAACTCGGGGCCTCTAGCGGGCCCAAGAAAGAGAGGAGTGAGAGAATTGGCTGAAGGCCAGGCTGCGGTCAGCCTGCGCACGAGCTCGCGACAGTCTGGGATCGGCCCCAGTGGGCGAACTGGAAAACCATCGAACTCCATCCGGTGATCATCAAGGCTGTGATTCGTGGCTGCTGGACTTCAACTCCCGCCTCGACATCGAGCTCTCGCCTGCCAGCTGGCACTGGTATGCACTCACCCGGTACAGACCCTCGTCCACGATGCGATGCGTCAAACGATGCTCGCAGCGCCGGCTGTCCTGGCAGCCGACGCGACTTTTCCAATTCCTTCTTGGCCGTCCTCGCAGCTGCTGCCTGCCTGCAGAGGATCTCGGCTCTCTCGTCGTCTGTCGCTGCTGCTGCTGCTGGTTCGGCATCATGATGTGCCGAGTCCACCTCCGTCGCTGCTGGCGATGCTGTAGCACTGGCCTCCGCTGCGGCCCTGGCCTCCGCTGCGGGGGAGGCGGGGCCCGCTGGCGACGGCGGCGCGGCCCCTCCCGCGGCAGCGCGCGGCGGCGGAGCCTGCTGATGGCCCGCAGCGGCGGCGGCTGCATGGGGGGGAGCTGGCGCCGCGGCTGTCGCCTGCGGGCCCAGCCGCCGGCCTGGTCCCCGAAAGGCTGAACCCCTGCAGCGCCTCCACCAGGGCGAACACCTGCAGCGCCTCCTCCCTGTCGCCCACCGACGATATTCGACTGCAGCGTCGTGAGCAACGTTGTCAGGGCTGCAAGTTGTTCACGAAGCTGGACCTGGCCCGTCTGCAGCTCTGCGATGGCGGCGACACCTGCTGGCGGCGTTGCTGGGGCAGGTGGTGTCGCAGCCCCCGCATCACCCATGATATGATCTTCTTCTCCATGTGACGTTGGGGCCTGCGACGGGCTGAGCTCCTCGAGCTGGGCTAGGAACTCATGGCCTCGCTGTTTGCGCGCGCTGTGCACGCTTGGCCTTGGCCGCCTCAAGCTGCTCCTGGCAGCGCTTCACATGCAGCTCGGCCTTGTCGAACTTAGCCTGCGTTTTGTTGACATAGCTTCGCTGCCAGTCGCAGCGCGCCCCTGGACTCTGGGCCACGATCACCATGCAGAGCTGCACGCCGCACCCGGTATCCAGCTGGGCAACTTGATCTGGGGACGATCCCGACCTGCTTGGCGACTGCGAACTTCTTGCCTGCGGCGGCCGCAAGCGCACGCAAGGACTTGCGGTGCGCGGGGAAGTCCCGCTCGTCGACCGGCGGTTCCACCCAGGGTGGGCGTCGGCGAGCCTCATGCGGAAAGGCTGGCAAAATGTTAAATGCCGCCGTCGCCGTCTCCTCACCTCCTGAGCCATGTCCGTCGTGCTCACTGTCAGTTTCACCCTCGAACCTGACGCTGTGTCTCGAACTCGATATGTCGATTGAACGCTTGCGCACGGTCGATTTCTCATCAGCATCACCTCTGCTGCGGCGTCGAGAGCTCGATTTTCGACGGGTGCTCGAGCCTGTCGGGGACTTGCGTCGATCACTCTCTGTCCGCTGGCTCTGCCCGCCACCCACTGGGCCCGCGTAGCAGGTCGGGCACAGCAACACGTGTGGTTGATGGCATTGCCCGCGTCCTTCAAACCACCACCCAGGCGGCGGGGGCGGCACTGATGGGTGCCACGGCGGCTGTACTCTCGTCGAACTCCCTCCCGAGGCACTCGCACGTCCACCGCCCTTGCCTCGACCGTTGCCGTACTGCATGGTTGGGCCCGCGCTATGATGTGCGCCGAGCAACCGAACCGACGATGCCAGTCGCAGGAAGACACGCGCCTGCGCCCTGGCCTGGCGGGCTCGGCGGTGCCACGTGGGGTCAGCACCTCGGGCTCTTGGGCGCGGGGACGAATTGCTGCTGTTGTCGCTCTGCGGCGCGCTGCCGAGCCAGGGCCACCCAAACACCGACGATGGCAGCGCGCGTCGACTGGGCGCGGCGGGGCCCTGTCCGCCCTGCACGGGCGCGGGCCAGCGCGCGTGGCCGCCCGCCCCGCGAGAGGTTCGCCGTAGCTGGCACGGCGCCCGAAACCTCTCGAACCGGGGCGGCGGCTGAAGTCAGTGGGAGGAAGGAGGGAGTAGGAGGGGAGGAAAAGGGGAGGAGGGAGTTGGAGGGGAGGCGGGGGGAGCTGGAAGGGGGTGGGGGGCTGGAGGGGGAGACGCAGGAGGACAGAGGAATCGGGAAAAAAGGGTCGAGGACCAACGGCCAGAGCAACCGAGAAAGTATCGTCGATGGGGCCCGAGTCCGAGGAGTTCCGTGGTGCCCGCCGAAGTCGAATTCGGAAGGCAGGTTTGCTGCTCGGGGGCGCGCAAACATAGATTAGCGATCCATGGATTTGGCGCGCGGTCGCCAAATCCATGGGTCGGGGGAGGCGCCCTCCCTAAAACACGGCCGGTGCCGCCTCGCTCGACGGCGGAAGTCTGCGATTTCCCCTGGAAACGGGACCCGTCGCTAATCCACGCCCCCTTGGTTCATGTTTGCGATCGCCTAAGCTGGGGCACCGCGCACTTCGGCCCACGTCTTCAAGCTTCCCGTCGTTGCCCCTCGCACGTTCGGTGCAATCCCGAAGCCTTATGGCGGAGCACATGCGCGAACGCCCGAGAGGGTGGATTGACGCGCTCGTGGGAGGAGCGCAGTCCTAAGCCCTCCTGAGTGCCAGGCTCTGAGAGAGCCATCAATAAAAAAGGGCCCAAGGACACACACACGCACATAAATACACACAAATCCCAGGGTTCCCCATAGTTTCCCATATGTTCTAAGTCTTCGCTTCCCCCCCCCCCATTTCCCATAGTTTCCAACATGTTCCTGGGAATCGACGATTAATTGTGTGTGTGTGTGTGTTTGCTTTTCCCCCCGTGACATCAATCGTCGGTCACGAACCGTGGGCGGAATGTGGCATAAGCGGAAGGTGGCGCGGGACTCCCAGACGCCATGATGGGTGGCACGTGTTCCCGCTCCCGGCTAGAAGACTCGGGCCATCCGCGGGTCCTCCTGCCCGTTCCCCTCCCCCCCCACGACTCCCCCGATCCTCTATCTCCTTCCCCTAGAGCGCGGCTCCCAATCGCTCCCTAGGCCGCTGGGCCGCCAGGAGGCCGCCGGCCGCGGTGTCCTCCTGAGGCCCATCACCATCTCCTCGCGGGAAGGGGGCGCGAGAGGGAGGCAGGAAGACAGGGAGGCAGGGAGGGAGGAGCCCTCTTCCTCGCCCTCGTCCTCCTCGTCCTCGTCCTCGTCCTCCTCCTCCTCCTCCTCCTCCTGCTCTTCCTCCTCCTCCTCCTCCTCCTCCTCCTGCTCTTCCTCCTGCTCTTCCTCCCCCTCCTCCCCCTCCTCCTCCTCCTCCTCCTCCTCCTCCTCCTCCTCCTCCTCCTCCTCCTCCTCCTCCTCCTCCTCCCCGTGCTCCTGGCCCCGGGGGTGGGGGCCTGGCACCTGCTCTCGCGGTGTCAGCGCCGCACACGCCTCGGGGCACACCGTCAATGTCAGCTGCACGCGGCGGCTGGGGGTAGATAAGCTGGCTTTCGTCGTTCTTGCGCCAGCCACGAGGCACTTTGCCCGTGGCAGCGGCGCGTTAGCTGCGCGCGTGACCTGGAGATTGGTACCAGGCACGGGGAGTGTGCATTTGGTTGACAGGCGGGGCCATGTGGTCCGTAAGTCATTTGGGGCCTTGTGTCCGCCCACCCTGCGGTACGAACCCAGTTGCACATGCCATCCGATAACCAGGGGTGACGGTCGGGAAATACTGCGCGGTGGCGCGGTGAACCGGCTGTCCCCCTACGCAACGCGCCGTCTCGGTTGGGCAGCGAGTCGCTGAGCGACGAGGTATCTGCCTTTCCCCTGACCGTCGGTGCTGGCGCCTGCGGGCCCCTTCCTTCTGTCTGGGAGGCCGAGGGTGACGGTTGAGCATCGATCGCCGTTCACTTCTTGGATCTATGACACTCGTGACACTCCTCCTCATGCTCCTCCTCCCTGTCCTCATCCTCCTCCTCCTCCTCTTCCTCCTCTTCCTCCTCCTCCTCCTCCTCCTCCTCCTCCTCCTCCTCCTCCTCCTCCTCCTCCTCCGCATCCTCCACCTCCTCAACGCTTACCTCTGGGCCACAAATGATGCGACACAGTGAGTGAACCACTCCATTTTTTCCGTCTCCTCCTCCTCCTTCTTCCTGCTCCTCCTCCGCTTCCTCCTCCTCCTCCTCCTCCTCCTCCTCCTCCTCCTCCTCCTCCTCCTCCCTCCTCCTCCTCCTCCTCCTCCTCCTCCTCCCCCTCCCCCTCCTCCTCCTCCTCCTCCTCCTCCTCCTCCTCCTCCTCCTCCTCCTCCCTCCTCCGTCCTCCTCCTCCTCCTCGTCCTCCTCTTCATCCTCCTCCTTTTCGTCCTTTTCTTCATTTTCTTCCTCCTCCTCCTCCTCCTCCTCCTCCTCCTCCTCCTCCTCCTCCATCCCTCCTGATCCAGTCAACGGTCGAAGACAGGCAATGATCCTCTCTTCTCTTCCTTCTACCCTTCCTCCCCGACCTTTTCCTCCTGCTGCTCCCCTCCCGCCGCGAGCGCGAAAGTCTGCACTGGCGAGGGGGAGGGGTGAAAGGGGAGCAGAGGCGGGAGGAGAGAGAAGGGGAGCAGCAGCAACAAGACCAGTAATTCGACGGCAACGGGAATGACAACACACGAGCAAATCATACCTGGACCGCTGCACCTGCACTGTGCCGTTTGTGACTCAACACCGCCATGTCCTCTTCGCCATTCGCTATGCTCCCCCGCGCACGCACACACACACTCACACACACACACACACACACACACACACACACACACACACACACACACACACACACTTGTTTGCGTCGGCGGATAGGCACAGTGACTGCGCTGGCGATGAGGCGCTGGAAAATGTACGAACGCGAATCCGGCCACCGCGCAGGAGGAGGAAGGGAGGAGACGCCTGGCGACGGCAGGAGGGGGAAGCCGGGCCCGCGCAGAGCGGGGCCAGGCGGCGGCGGGGGGCGGCGCCGGGGAGCGGTGCCCAGCAGCAGCGAGGACACACACACACACACACACGTCCTGTTTCCTCTTCCGCTTCCATTGCCCCATCCCGCTCCTCCTGTATGGGAGGCTGGGGGGTGTGGATCAAACATTCACACTACTCGAAATTATCCCAGTGCGACCCTACCTAAGAGTTGGAGCCCCTAGGACAGCAGCATTAGTAGTAACAGTAATGTTAAGCTAAAGCTAAGCTAAAACTAAGACGAAGCTAAGCTAAAGCTCAGCTAAAGCTCAGCTAAAGCTCAGCTAAAGCTCAGCTACAGCTCAGCTAAGGCTAAAGCTAAATATAAAGCTAAAGCTAAAGCTAAAGCTAAAGCTCCCAGCGGACTGGGGGAACCGCTCCCAGGGGACCGGAGGAACCGCCCGGGGCGGGGTCCACTGCCCAGCCCTTTGAGCTAACAGAATAAGAACCCTTTTAGGCCGAGCCTAGGCAGGGAAGAACTGGATGGAGGGCGTAGGACGGCCGTCAGGCGGAGGGGGGTGGGGTGGGGCGGGTGTGGGTGGGTGCGGGGGGGGCCAAAACTGAAGGCGGGCGGAAATGTGGAACGGAAGGGAGTGGCGAAGGGGGAAGGGAAAGGAGAAAGAAAAGAGGAGGAAGAGCACGTAGCACCCCGCAAGTGCGGATAAGAGTGAGGGGGCGGGCGCGGGCGAGGCGGGCGTCGAACCGGCGGACCTCGTGGCCCTCACCTTCCCGGTCGATGGCGCCCTCCTCCTCCTCATCGTCCTCCTCCTCCTCCTGCTTCTCCTCCTTTTCCTCGTCCGCGTGTCGTCTTCATCGTCGTCGTCGTCGTCCGCCTCCTCCTCCTCCACCTCCTCCTCTTCCTCCTTTTCCTCCTCCTCCTCCTCCTCCTCTTCCTATTCTCAGCATTATTATTATTAATGTTCGTCTTCTTCTTATTATTACTATTGCTGTTGTTATTATTATTACTATTATTATTATATTATTGTTATACTTAGTATTAGTATTACTAGTATTAGTATTATTATTGTTGTTCGTAGTATTCTTATTCTTCCGAATATTAGTATGATTATTCTTATTGTATTGTTTTTAGTATACAAATTATCGTTATCATTATGATGATGATTAGTCATAGTTATATTATTTATAGTTTTCCTCTTAGTTATCAGATTTGTTATTCGTATTTTTATTCTTAGTCGCAGTATGATTCGTCGGATTCGTCTTCTTCTAAGTATTATGTTAAGTATTTTCATTATTATTCGTCTTACTGTTTTACTCATCTTATAAATCTTATGATGAAGTGTGTTCGTAGTCGCATTCTTACTCTTAGTGTTTTTGTTATTATTATGACTATGCTTCCTATTAGTCTTCTTATTATTACTATTATTCTTCTGAGTAGTATTATGAGTATTCTTTTTTAGTATACGTATTCTTAATAGTATTAATGTTTATATGCTTGTTATTATTATTATTCGTCTTCTTAGTATTATGTTGCGTCTCCGTCTTGTACTATTATTATTCGTATTCTTCTTATTCGTCTCCATAGCATTTGCATTCTGATTATTATTATTCCCCCTCTTCCTCCTCCTCCTCCTCCTCCTCCTCCTCCTCCTCCTCCTCCTCCTCCTCCTCCTCCTCCCTCCCCCCCTCCCTCCCTCCTCCTCCTCCTCCTCCTCCTCCTCCTCCTCCTCCTCTTTCCGCTTTCCGCTCCTCTGACGGCGGCCCCCGAGGGAACCACCGCAATCCGAACGCCTCCACAACACGCCGAGGAAGCCACAGGACCGCCTACACACTCCAGGCTCCCTACTCCGAATCCTCCCAGCGGATGTCCCGCCTCTCGCCCAAGACCTCATACAGCCCCCGAGCCCACCCGACGCGGCGGGGATGGAGAGGGGGCTGCACGGGGCAAGAGCGGGGGATGGGCCGCTTGGAGGAGGGGTCCAGCCCCTGCTTTAATTGGCGCAAGGCCCGTGCTCGGCCATCCGTGGGGTGTCCTGCGCAGCGGTCCGCGAGGGCCAAAACCTGCCGTCTGGCATACGCCCCGCACACACTGCACCACACAAGACCTCCAGGACCCCCCGAGCACAGGAGCCTGTGAGACCAATGTGCCTGAGCCAGCTTGGCCATGACCCCAGGGCACCTGTCGTGCACCAGCCTGGCTCGGGTCGAGCAGCTGCGGCCACAACTCAAACACACCCAGCGGCCTCCAGAATATTTCGCCTGATGCCCTTTGGGATCCGACACGAGCTCGAGCGGGTCGAAAGCGCGACGGAGCCGAGGTTTGAGAGCATCGGGGAAAGAAGAGGCGGCGAGGTGCGCGAGGATCCTGCCTGAGTAGAGGGCAACGAAATAGGCCGACCACCACAAAAGCGGCCTCAACTCCTCTACCTCCTCAGAAAAAGGGTGCAACCTCGCGCCTTTCTTGGCATACACATCAGCTAGCTTATTAGCTCTGTAGTGAAGCCACGGGACCCCTTGTGCCTGTGCATGAGTCCAGGATTCGCGGCTTCGCATCCAGTGCAAGTGAATCTGCTCAAGACCTATCTCGTCAATCTTAAACCAAATCTTGCACCAAACTTCAGAATACACCTTCGTGGGACGGCAGCGCGCTTCAGGCCCTGCCGCCACACCATCGATGAGAGACTTACAATCGGTGACGACCGTAACCTCGCCTACACAATTGCACAGACACATATAAAAGGCCCAGAGCTCTGCTGCTCCGATCTCCTGCAAGACTCCAGGGTGGGGCCCAAATATGGCTCCTTCCGAGTTCCCATGGCGGTCTATCTTCACGCAAGACCAACCAGCCCTAGAAGCCAGAGGAAAATTGGGCGCCAAACAGGACCCGTCGATGCCAACGAGACCTGAGAGGGCCCCTCCCACCATGGGCCCGTCATACTCCACGAGCCCATCGAGCCTCGGGGGAGGTTGGAGGTCAAGCAAAGAGTCCACGAGGCCCCTGTGGAGGAGGGGGTCCTGATGCTCGCATTCTCTGCCTGCACGCGTGACGTCGTCCAGGTCAAGGTCACGTCTGACCACAGCACTGAATTCACATCTGAACAAACGATGCCCCTCGTCTCCTGGCTCCGCCTTGCAGACCTGACACAAGGGCGAGTCGACGGACCGTGCCGCGAAGAGGCGCGCCTGCGTCC